AATTTCCACGTTATTCAATCACCCGCAGAGAAAGTGTTTTCCTGTGTACTTTTTTGCTACCGATTTTGCCCTTGTCCCTCTCAAAGATATCTCCCACCAGCTCTCTCTATTATGGACTATTACACGTGTTTGTCGTTATTTTTTTTTGCCAACTGCCGTTTTCATAAAAAGTATTAGGCAACACACTGTTTGACAAGTATCCATCTAGAAGCAAAATCATTCATGATTTGGCAATTCGTCAATTTACTTTTAGATACTAATAATTTTCTTTTCGTGTTGTAATATTTGGAAAATATCGATCGTCGCCACCATCAAAGTGATTGATATTATTGTTTGTAAAAATGAATCATAGGTACAAATTTTGTAAATAATAAAATTTACAGTCAATTGAAATAAACATATTATCCATAATGTTACATCAACATTTTTTTTATGAATACATTAAAATGAAATTTGTATTTTATATAGTCGTCCTCAATGTTGAAGATATTCATTGGAAAATCAATTGGACCGTAAATTAGTCAAGTAATTCTGTAGGTATCATTTACAGAAAATAAAATAAATAATTGTCGGACGGCTACACGTACTGTATTGTCACAACAGCTATTGAGTAATAAAATTACTAGAAAAAATGTTGTCGGAAATAATATTTTAGATCATTCTAACTTGCATAAAAAGGTATTTTGTTGTCACGTAAGATTATCCATAAAAATAATTGCATATATTTTATAAAATAAGAAACACAATATTATTTTTTAGTTGAAGTAGAAAGATACAAGATTAATACATTTAAGGCATTAGGCTTTTGTCAGTTACTATCTTCAGTTCTTTCGTTGGAGAGCACATTATATAGTGTAGGTGGTGCTTGGCTGCGCAGTACACGAGGATGTCTCCTGAAATTCGTGGGCCAACCCACCCCGGTGTTAATAAAGGAACGATACCACACAACTAGATAAAAACTATTAAAAATCCTACTGCGCACTTTTTAATGTGAAATTGTATCGCGACACTTTTGATGTACGCGTGCGATATGTTTTTGTCGGTACAATTGTAATATTATTTTATCATTGCGGACGCGATTAATATAAACAAACACGAGTGAACCTTAAGAACTACATGAAAAACAACAAACGCATTTTTTATGTGTAAAAAAACCATCTTGTTTATAATAAGATTAGGTACACTGTGTATCCACCGTTGTTATTTTACTGATACTCCGACACGTGAAATATTAACGCGTTTGCGGTAAACTGTAAATAGACCGTTATTTGCGGCGCGTTTGAGTCGCGGGGGAGTAAGACCACATTCCGGCCGGCGGATCGCATTACCGCAGTTGTACTACATGGATTTTGCAACGGCGTTCAATAGGTAGTTGTTTATGACGGACCAGTATGCGGTGCGTTTCAAGACTGCGGTGGTGAGAAAGAAAACAAAAATTATCATCAAAGAGACCGAGTTACGCGAAGAAGACGCCGCTCGGTCTCGGCTGCACGTGTTCTGCTCGTTGAAAAGACACGCCGCCGCGGTACGGCTCGAGCGTGTCTACAAACTGTAAAATCGCGTATTTCATGACATTTCGAAACGCACATTATGTGGGTAAACATCTTGTTTAACCGCGTCCAGCAGGTACACAAGCCACGGTGGCGCATTCGATGCGGATCGAGTGATTTTTACTACGCCACTGGCCGCAGTGTCAAAGGGGCCGATCCCGAGCACCGTCAATCGTTTGTCCACAACCATCGTTTTGACACCGACCCCCGTGCGTAACACGAGATACGCGTTTGCAGTGCTACCGTATTCTTTCACATGATAACAGGCCGACCCGCCGACCTCAGGCCGCAAAAAGAGTTTATTAGCAAATTAATAGACACTTTTACCACAAATGTATTTTTCCGCGCCAATGACATTTATTGTGCTCACGTGTTAAGACCCGTTACGCTGGCAAATTTATTGCTCAAACCGCTGCACCTGGTGGTGGCCAATGTTTTACTGGAATCCCTACTAATTTCATTTCCCTAATAAAACACAATGCATTGGCGGCCATATATTTTGCACGCCTAAATGTATAAACATTTTTTTTAATTTACCACCTATTTAGGTATTGAGCACACGTTAAAAAATTACTTCTCCGTACTTTATGACTAAAATTAAAAACTCACTCAAAAACATCACTCAAAATTGATTATCCAAAAATTAAAAATATTAATGGTGAATTGTGCTATTTTTTTTTTTTTACTGGTGTTTATAAAAAAACTAATCGTTTTAGCAAAATATGCATTTAAAGTGCAAAAATACATGAATGGCTCTTTATTCCTGTAGAACATTAGTAAAATTAAAAAAAAAAACCATATCAATAAAAGTATAGTTTTGATTTTGTTTATGAGTAATCTAAAAGTGGATACAAATGAACTATCGAAAGCGAGTCTACTTGATTAAATACTAAATGAACTATTGAAAATCTATCTAATACAAATATCAGTTTTATAAACATACCCGATTAATGGATTTTGAAGAACTTTAAGTTGTCTTAACGTTTTTAGATTAAATTTTGTTGTTTAAAATTGTGAAATTCACTCGATGAGAAAATAATTTTGTAAAATTTAGTTTTGAATTAATCTGGAAATTAATTATTATACATCTTATCACAACAGGGCTATCTATAATAACATTAGCGCACTAGATTATTCACACAAAATTATTTCAAAGTATCACAACATAATATAATTGATATTCTCATTTTTAACTATAACTGTTTACAAAAAGTTACTGACGAAACTTAATTTTGCTTAATGTATACAAAAAATACATTATGGACTGCAAATGGCAGATTTTCATTGTTTAAAAGAAATCGTTGGCGTGCACCGATTTCTATTGAAGATGATTTTTAGACATTTCAATGAGTTTCTCTACATCTTCTATGATCGCTAGCATTCAAAATAATCGCACTATTATTACTTATTTTATTTGCAACGCTGATGACAGATAATTTTTCACTAAATTGTATGATGTATATTTTTTGTAACAATTTTATTCAATTTTATTTAAATAATTACTAAACATATTTATGTTGGAAATATAATTTCGATACGAATATCCACAAATTCACTATTTTTTTTTTCAAACATTTTTTTTTTAAGTTTTCACGGATAATCATGACTTTGTATCGACGCAATTTGTCTTCGAACTGATTCAAACACAGAAAACAGCAATAGTACTAAAAAAAATAAACAAACAACATAAGGTCACATACGGGCAGGATATTTTTTTCATTCGCTTTTTTTTTTTTTGCCTTTTTGCAATTGCAACGACCCGTTGAGTGCCTTACGACTTGGGAGGTTCGAACAATTTGTCAACGCGGGAGTTTTTTCTTTTCTATTTTTTTTCCCGATAAAACTAACGTATTGAAGGTATAGCGTTGGATAAAAGTAATGAAAAAATCTAGAAAAAAGTAACGTCGCGCGTCCGAAAATCCTCAGCGGGAGGGAAAAAGTAAGGTTGGGTTGTGAGGGTGAAAAAAAATGCGAATTGCGTATGCTGTTTATTTATTTAAGGCTACGTACAAACTAAGAAAAAACATATTGGGCCACGTCGATATAAATCAATTACTGCATTCAACACAGTGCAAAATAGTGTCTTGGTGAAAAAAAATCTGCAATTGTTCCTGCGTTCGTTCTTCATAGGAATTATATTTGTAAATCCTATGAATCTCAGGGTAACATTGAAAAAACTCGCCGTATTAAAAACTGATCACACACACTGTTTTCCTGAACATCCAATCGTCTCTGTGACCCGGCGCTGTACCGGTAAGATGAACACTTTCTAGAAGCTGTACGGAATTACATCGATGTAAAGTGGAAAAGGGAACATAGACTAATAATAATAATAATAATAGGCTATATAACATTAGGCCATTATATATATTTAAGGTATTATAATAGGCTATAAAGAGTAGAAGGTAAAAAACGGTACGAGTTGTCGGGCTGTGTGGTATTGAGCTGCACTCGTTGCGTGGCACGGTCCGCTGAACATCTCGAAACCTTTTGTTTGGCTTCGTTTCCCGTGAAAGTCCTTACTTTCGATTCGTCACGACCCACCATTTTTTATTTATAGGTATAGATATTTTTTCTACCTCTGCTGTTGCTACTAGATTTCATCGCGTTATAAATCTTTTTCACTTGGATACAACTCTTGTAGGCATTATCAATATATTCACTAGATTTTTTGATGACTTTACCGTCTTGTCCAATCTACAACGTCTTGACGACCGGTTGAAGTGTATCTTTAAATATAAAACACGTTTACAATACATTGTAATTTCTTTTTTAATTATATGGTAATTTGTGTAAATCAAATAAACGTAAAATATAATATACAAATTTTTCTAATAAGGAAAAAATACTGTTAGTTTCCATATGACGATTTAAAATAATAACTAGATATTCATAAACAAAAATAAATTATTATTAAATTATAGTATTAATTTAAACACTCAAGTACTAATTAATCCGCATAATCAAAATTACTAAAGTCGAATTTTGTGTACACAAACGTTTTTGGTCAAATTCAATATAAACCATGAAATCTCAATCTTAAATTTCTTTCGGGAGAACAATTTTTTAACGGTAATTTTTATGTAATATCGATCTTACATCATAAATTAATGTCAATTTGTATTGTTTATTTCGAGAACATTTCACAAGAAAATTTACGTTCAGTTTATTTGCTAGTAGAAATACAACAGGTCAATTATGTTGATTTCTAACATTACATTAAAGGAAATCATTAAAACGCATCGTTTCGACTTGAGACTTGAGTATAAATATTCCTGCGTTATGATAATTTTCATTCGTACATAATTTCAAAGTTAATAAATACATGTAATTGTTATTAATGAAAATAACTCGACTGAGGGCACACAAAAAACGACGACAAATGTAACAAAAAAAAACTCCTAATAAATAAATAATATATAACGAAGGAAAACTGCATCCACTACTCATTCAACCGGCCGAGCCGAACGAGCGCTGCCATTGGCCAACAGAGCCAAAGTCTCCACGCCCCATCGACGTACACAAACTGCACGCCCTCACTGAGCTGTTCGCTCCGTCGGTTCCAGTCTTGTTCGGGACATCGTTGCGACGGCATTTCGTACGTTTTTTTGGATGGTTTCAAATAGTATTTTTAAATATTTTTACAAAAATCAACATTCGTACACGCTTAAGGTTTAACCCGTAGGATATTCCCACGTGCCGTCTGCGAACCCGCTGCTGATGGTTATTGCATCGAACTGCTATTAATTTTCACTTGGTGATTGCTAATAACTTTGTGATCTTAGTTAATCGATGTTGTTCCGTTCATTTAAAGTTTCAAACGCGGTCAAAGAAAGATGACAGTTACCAACTTCGGCATGATGAGGCCTTGTTTTACCGGATACCCTTTCCAAGGCAAGTACCAAAACTTTTTCATTTCAATTAGTATCATAGATAATAACAATAATAAACGACCTACGAATTCTTCCGAACACCTTCTGAATCTTAGCTAATTAAATTCAAATAATTAATTTCGACAGTTTTTTTGAACGGACTGACGCGTTGGACATAATTGTCGCTTAGGATTCACGGGAAATATTCTTTTTAATTTTTAGACTTTACATTGGTTACTTTCGCAGTTAAATTTATTGTAATAATAATCAGTTGAAACTTTTGCGCAGGCCAAGGCCGGGTGAACCAGTTAGGTGGTGTGTTCATCAACGGTCGGCCATTACCCAACCACATAAGGTTGAAAATTGTCGAGATGGCTGCAGCCGGAGTCAGGCCATGTGTTATATCCAGACAATTACGCGTTTCCCATGGATGCGTTTCGAAAATCCTGAACAGATATCAGGAAACGGGAAGCATTAGGCCTGGAGTGATTGGAGGAAGCAAACCTAGAGTAGCCACGCCAGATGTAGAGAGACGGATAGAGGAATATAAATCGGAAAACCCAGGAATTTTCAGTTGGGAAATTCGTGACAGGTGAGAAAAATATTACATATTTTTATAAGCTTTGTAACAAAATTAATCCTCAAGTTGTCATTTATTAAACAATCAATTTTATGTTTTATTTGCTTAGCTAGAACGCTGAATTAATATTTCTCTTATAACTCATAATACATTTTTTAATCAATAATTTGACATCTTTAAAAGTAAATTTTATATGAACATATAATGACTGAAGAATTTAAATTGAAAACAAAATAAATTTAAAACCCGAGTTAATAACCCAAAAAGAGCACAATTAAATTCCATCCATTTCAAAATATTTGTCTTCAATTGTTGTAAAATCTTATCCAACTTATAGTATGTAAAGTTAATACCATCGTATGATAATATTCTAAAACAACTTTAGAAATATTTAAAAAATATTTGGTAATTAATTTTAAGCTATTTTCATTATAAATTTGAAACCTATCTGTTGAACCTAATCTAATAATACTGAATTATAATTGCTCTCATTTTACTAAAATCGCCAAAATCTTTAATATTTTANTTTCTTATAACTCATAATACATTTTTCAATCAATAATTTGACTTCTTTAAAAGTGACTGACTTTAAATGACTGAAGAATTTACATTGAATACAAAATTATACCCGAGTTAATAACGCAAAAAGAGCACAATTAAATTCCATCCATTTCAAAATATTTGTCTTCAATTATTGTAAAATCTTATCCAACTCGTAGTATGTAAAGTTAATACCACCATATGATAATGTTCTAAAACAACTTTAGAAATATTTAAAAAATATTTGGTAATTAATTTTAAGCTATTTTCATTATAAATTTGAAACCTATCNCAGGAATTTTCAGTTGGGAAATTCGTGACAGGTGAGAAAAATATTACATATTTTTATAAGCTTTGTAACAAAATTAATCCTCAAGTTGTCATTTATTAAACAATCAATTTTATGTTTTATTTGCTTAGCTAGAACGCTGAATTAATATTTCTCTTATAACTCATAATACATTTTTTAATCAATAATTTGACATCTTTAAAAGTAAATTTTATATGAACATATAATGACTGAAGAATTTAAATTGAAAACAAAATAAATTTAAAACCCGAGTTAATAACCCAAAAAGAGCACAATTAAATTCCATCCATTTCAAAATATTTGTCTTCAATTGTTGTAAAATCTTATCCAACTTATAGTATGTAAAGTTAATACCATCGTATGATAATATTCTAAAACAACTTTAGAAATATTTAAAAAATATTTGGTAATTAATTTTAAGCTATTTTCATTATAAATTTGAAACCTATCTGTTGAACCTAATCTAATAATACTGAATTATAATTGCTCTCATTTTACTAAAATCGCCAAAATCTTTAATATTTTAAGTCGATTTTATTGATTGAAATACAACAATTGAAAGAACGTATTTAGAATATATAAAATACATAAACAACTCGTAAAATAATAAAAAATATAGAAAACTATCTTAATCGGTTAACAATAAGTACATATTAATTAAAATTTGACTCTACAAAAACTCCAACTTTCAAAACTCAATAGGTTTTAAATTTTTCCCAGTTTAAAAGTAGTAAGCGACTTAAAAAATTTTAAAGTTCAATAATCTAAGCATTTTTAGATTACTGTCCATCTACATTAACAGTTAAAAAAAAATTTATAAAATACGAGTTAAATCTAAATTTAAACATGTTATATTTTAATACTGCTGTAGTTTTTTACAATAGCATTAAACTATTCCATTGGTATCATAATCTATTTATTACGAAAGAAGAACTGTTTTTTTATTTCAGAAAACTTGATCAATTAAAATGTTCAGTTGTAGTTATTTGTATCTTTTTTTATAATTTAGTGCAAATATTTCGATTTATATCAATTACAATCAAATTTTTTTTTATAACAAAATAAACATTTATAAAATTAAAAATTAAACAGAAAACTTTAAATCATCTAAAAATTTAACTATATGTATATTTTAAAATTTATAAATGCATTGAATCGATTTTTATAATGGTATAAAAAAAAAAAGGGACTGCGCCAAATTTATCCTTGTCTAAATTTGAACTGTCTTTAATACATAATATATCTTGGCTCACTCAAAGTTACTTTGACCATTAAAAATATTTAAGTTACCAATAAATGGTCTTTCAAATATTGAAAAAGCAATAAAAAAAAATAAGTCATAAAAATTATTAAACATTTTAGTCGCCATATCATATTAAAAATTATTTAACTATTTAAAGCATTTATTATATTTTATCAAAATAAAAAAAATGTTCTTAAGGTTATTTTTTTCTCTCAGTCTATAAAAGTTAACATAATTTCGGGAAAATGTTTATATACGACAGTATAAGAATCAAACGTTTAATCATTAATTGACATAATATTTAATATTATATCTTCTATAAAGTTTTCATACCCTGACACGATAGAACAAGAACATCCCTCACGTAAACAGTTTGAATTTTCAAAATTAATTCATTAAAAAAAATAATTGTAATATTATGAAATAGAAATGTTATTGTGATAGTCATTGATACATAAATTATTAAAAAATAAATATTGTTTGTGTATAGTATTGTCGCTTGCCAATTATTTTGCTAAAACGCTTAATGTCTAAACTAACTGACTTAATTGAATACATTACCTTATATTTATTACGAACTATATGTAAAAATATGCGATAATGCAATCGAGATGATTTGTTTGAAATTTAACGTCACATTAAGAAATTCACTGATTAAAAACCGTTTTTGAATGCAACTAAGCATAATTTTTTTAATGTTCATTTTACAGACGTATTTGTTATAATGTTATTTTAATTAAACCTATTCCGGCGCCTTTTTTAACTAACATACGGACCTTCGTTTTAACGTTTATATAACAACAATACATACGATTGCTATCTCTTTGTCATCATGCTGGTAATAATTATTAGGATGATAAATTAATTGAAACACCACGTCGCACGCCCACCGCCGCATGAACTCAGTAGCCAATGTATTCATTTTTCCACTCTGATGTCGAATAAATAATTGTCGAGCCCAATAAAATACACTACACAAACATTCAAACGTAATAAACCAAAATTTGTAAGATAATAGAGCTCCTCTCCCGCTGCTTCTTCTTTTGTCAGCTTGATCCTCGGACGACATAATACTTGTAAACTGTGCTTTTAAGTGCATAGAACTGTACGGGTTAGCAAATCAATAGGCCGTTCGCCAATACATGTTTAATATAAATGTACAATTTGCTTTTGTTATTAAAACTATAATATATGATTTCTTTGCTGTATTTCGAATATTATTAGAACCTCTAAGAATGATATCCCGTTTTTGTTTCAGAAATGACAATGAGCCCGCCCAATACCACGATAGTAAAAGGTTAGTGTAAAAACATTTTCTTAAAATTTCAAAATAAGTTTAAAAAACTCTCGACGCTAACGTTTCGATATTATTGCTTTTTTTTTTTACTTTTAATACTGATTAATTATATTTTATTGGCTTACAAATGGAATAATGAAAGACGCGTGCTCGGTGACGATTTTTTCACACAAATGCCAACACACATATTACCAACGCTTAATAAAGTCGTCGGTTGTCATTGGGGTGTTTTTCGTGTTGTCGAGATTTTTTTGTACCCTTTACAAAATCTTATGTATGTACGTAAATACCTGGGTCCATAAAATACTCGACTTACTGTACGCAGTGCGCTCAATTATTTATTGTCCTTTTAACTGGTTTGTTAAGACGCCTGTCGAGTACGTGGCGTGTACAACATAATAGCAATAACATGTTTTGTGTGCTTGTACATAAATAACGGGTCAGAATAGTGACCTTTGGATCCTTTTTTTCTTCGTTTACGATTTTCTGGCTAAGGATTCATCTTCTTCTTCTTTATTACTATTTTTTTTTTTTTTTTTGCTCTTGTATATATCGTTAGGTAGTCCGGTGTGCACTGCTGAACTATTTCACGCGCGTTAGCCTAGCCCTTAAATAAGACCGTTTCGGCTATAAATTAATGGTTTCTTGAAGTAGGCTAAAATTTATCTGTTCACTTGTCAACTACTTGTACATAAAAACCAAAACGTTTTTTAGGGCTGTCATGGAAGGCAGGCGCGTGGTTAAGATACCCAAATCCCACAATCGTTGCGTCACTGTAATTTGTTAATCATTTTTTTACACAGTGCTTGTTATCGATTTTCACCGGCAATCTTATCCCTTTCCAATGAGCAAATGTTTATGATGACGCAACGGTAAAGCGAAATGCCTTCTCGATCAATTGTTTCCTCTGTTTTTAACTGTTGCGAAATTTGCAATTGTTTTCGGTACATGCAGCCATTAGTACGTATCGTTAATATTATTTTCTACTAACGTAACGCACAAGGGGCCGCTGAAATGAAATACCTATTTCATCGAAAACTACTGTCGAGTTTTGTTTATCTATAAAAAAAATATACTGTTCGGTTTATTTCTAAACTGCGTTTACTGTATTTAGCCAAAATCAATAAATTTAATGTAACTGCGATATTGCGTTGGAAGGATGTACAGTACATTTTTTTCTTAGAGTTTCTCTATTTTTTCTTCTTTAACTGCATATTTTTTTTTACATTGTATTCAACATTTTTTTCGCTATTCCCGTCGAGGTTAAAACGATCCCCGTAAAGTCACTAGGAGGGCTCGACGCGACTACTTTGAAAACCGTTGCCAGAGCACGTTTAAATGAGTACCGGATGTTTTATCGCCTTTTCTAAATTGTGCAGTGTGGTGGTCTGCAATATTATTATTACTATGATTATATTGATCAGGCTGCGAGAGTGGTATATTTTTGTGTGGGTTGTTTTTTAAAGAACAACTGCGCATACTTTACACACTTACCAATTGTAAATAATAATATTTACAAAACATAGGAATCATCAGTTTTTGATCTGAGATACGCGTCTTTTAGGATACACTTTTGATCCACCAAAACCATTGAAACGTGTAGTTAATTTCGTTTATCCTTTTTCAAAAAAAAATAATTATATTTATTTTTAGGTTAATCAGAGAAGGTTTATGCGACCGAGGCAGTGCACCGTCAATAAGCGCCATTTCGAGACTTCTAAGAGGACATGATGGAGATGATTCTGCTTCTGATAAAAAAATCAGCGATGGTAAGAATTTAAACGTTAATGTACTCAAAACATTACGATTATCTGTATAGAGATATAAGTCTCATGAATGAATTAACAGTTAAAATGGTTATGGTGCAATAAAATTAAGATATATATATATATATGTAAAATACTAAAACACAGTAAAGGTATATAAAATGTCTAAAATTATTAAATTAAAAAAATGTTGTTCGGTCAATTGACTCGATCAAAACTTACTTGATTAATTGTGTAATGATAATATTTTTATTATTACTTATTCCGTCAATTTCAGAAATGTTCGCCAACCTAACATAATTTAAATTTGATATTTTTTTATTTTCTTGGTAACTTTCGATTCGTCAGTACATCGTAAATACTATTACCGTGACAGAAACATTAGAAAATTATAGTATATTTCTTTTTTCACATTAAATGCCACTAATGAAGCGATAATAAAACAATTTTTATAGTGTTTGGCCAACGTTCAAATACGCAATGTACTACTTTGATGAAAACGGAACAATATATTATATTAGTCTACAGTTGCCATGTAAAAATAAAAATTGTAATTCTAACGTTTGTTTCGCTTTTAAACGTCTTAGTAAATACTTAGCGACTACGTTTGCAATAAAACAAAATGCAAAGATAGTTTTACAATGACCGCAAATGTAATCTCATAATACGTACCAGACGTGATCGATAATTCCATCTAATTATTACAATAGTGTATATAATTACAGATAATTTTGTTGATTTTTCTATATATTAGACGGACAAGTGTTTTTTTAAGCGTATTATTATTATTATAAAAATGAAATTATCTTTTTATTTTTCGAAATATAAAAAACTTTTTTTTTAATTTGTTGAAATCTTATCATTTCTCGCGTAAACTAATAAAATTATTGAAAATTATTATTATACTAAATGGATATCTAAAATTTTGTTAAAATGGACAATAATGAAGTATGACATACGACGACCACACACTATAGATAAATAATTGCAGAGGTAGTTACAAAGGGTTCGTGGCCAAAAAGGATTATCCCGAATATCTCACTAGTCAATTGTACCGACAAATACACATTTACTTAACATTCAGGTATACGTTTCTATCCAAACATAAATACACACGACTTAATCGTTAAAGTAGGCGTGCGAATAACTATCCACGTCATTAAAGGACCACAACAAAGAGCCACCCATGACCTTTATATAGGGCGACTAACAAATTATGTTATTGTTAGCCTGCAAATGATCCGCGGTGGGTCCCGTAAATGTCATTAACCGCATGCATCTTGAGATGACTATGTGTTATTATTATTTTAACCATTAAGAGATGATCCTTTAGCGCCTCTCTGCGTGTGTGTGTGTGTGTACGTANAACCATTAAGAGATGATCCTTTAGCGCCTCTCTGCGTGTGTGTGTGTGTGTCGGTCACCGACAAAAACCCACAGCCGAGTTTGGCGTAAAACTATGAAAAATGAATGTTTTTACCTCCTCCGTCGCGCGGTCGGCGTTTGTTCCCTCAGCTGTTGGGTACAATAAAACAAAAAATGAAATTTGTAACATATATATACATGCCAAAGTACCAGTACAGTGGTGGTGCGCAAATGTTACCGACGGCGGCCGGCTCTTTGTGTAACCCAATCGTTGCGGTCTGCCGAAATTGCAGACTTCAGTCATCCGACACGTTCGATCCTTGCCGGTGAACTGCGTGTGTCCCGCTAATATATATTACAATACATTGCACAATATTTTCCTGCGCCGGCTAATGGTAAACGTCTAGTTAATAGATTTGAAGTTGTAAAAAACCCCTTTACACGCCGATAGCAGCGGATGTTAACAGAAATAGGGAAGAAAACGAATAGCCACTGGACAAAAGGACACGATAGTTACATACGACGGTAGAAAAGTAAATGGTTTTAAAAAAAACAACTGTATTTTCTAGGCAAGACGTCTGATGGATCGGATTGTGATTCGGAACCAGGTATACCGCTAAAACGGAAACAGCGTCGTAGCAGAACCACATTTACTGCTTTACAATTGGATGAACTGGAAAAAGCATTCGAACGTACCCAGTACCCTGACATCTACACCAGAGAAGAGTTGGCTCAGCGGACAAAATTGACCGAAGCCCGTATACAGGTAAAAAATGAAATGTATATTTAATAAAAATCGCTACTCCATATGTACACTGTGGTAATAGGTTTCCATAATTTTTTCAATTCTTTATGTCTTCTGGAATAGAATGCTTTAACCGTTATTAATTCGACAGGTATGGTTCAGTAACCGCCGGGCCAGGTTAAGAAAGCAAATGTCTAGCAATACAGGAAGTTCGACACCGGGCTCTGGGGGCTACAGTATGGGATTGGCTCTAGGTTACTCGCCTTCCGCCCAACAAAACCAACAGCTACCGTCGGTACCCAATTCGTCTTCCACTCCCGCATACATGATGTCGCCACAACAATTACACGAGCCTTATAGCACACCGGACGGATACAAAGGTAAGTTAACAACCTTTTTGGTGAATATCCTCTCGGTTGTTCAACTAATGCTCGTCTATATTTTCCCCGTGTCCCTATAACAGTTTGATTTTCGCGTAATTTTGCTTTGGTTTTAATTGACGCTGATTTTCGCTCGGTTTTTTTTTTTTAGAAGAAGACCATCACCAACAAATGATTAAAGACAATCAACAGCAGCAGCAGCAGCAGCATAGCAGCATGATGTACGGTGGCTTAGGTGCCACTACATTGATTGATCACGACAATCGTCCCCACAGTAACATAAGCACGGAAGCGGCTACGGCTACTTCCTACATCGGTATCACGGCCGGTTCTTATGCCACCACACCACTGTACACTACCACGCCGTCGTTACTCGCTTCCCAAGTAAGTTCACATGAACCGGAAAACCCTTTTTTGAAGACTAGATAATTTAAACAAAATCTGTTTTATAAATGTTATTATTAACCCATCGAGGTTAATTTTTCATTTGATATTTTGACATAACATTTGTAAATCGATTCATTTTTCATGTGATGCGCGAGACACGTGTGCAGCTTAAACCGTCTTTTACATATTTAAAAAGGGTTGTCATGTACAGAATAGAAAGGACGCATGTCTTTGGCTCGTAAAAAGGGTCCCGTCTGAACGGTGACACCATTTAAGAGCTCGTTATTTATAGCCATCGCTTTGTCGCAACACGAACGTTGTATTTCAGGTCCGGAATTTTAGTTGATATTCTATTTTTTTTTTTTTTTTTACTTTTAGATGGGTCAATTGAACGGAAACAGTCAACTCTCGCAGTTGCATATTGGAAGCAATGGACATCAGGCGACATCGCCAAGTTTACTTTCGGGAGCATCACAAACATACCAAATTGGGTCAGCAGCTCCCAACGCGCCCACAATGATCACTCATCATCAATTGTCTCCGGTTTCTGCTAACCTTACTCTTATGGGACAACCAAATGGTAAATATTATAAAAATATTCTATGATTTATCAGTTTTGTTGTTTTAAGATAATTATTTATCAAATATAAAATTCATAATCTAATCTGTAAAATTTCAACTATTTAATTAATAATAGTTATAAAACCGTTAAAAAGTAGTCGAATTTTAACATGCAATTCAATACAACTGCATAAATAAACCACATAATTATTTTAGAATTGAATGTATAAACTTTTTTTTTTTTTTTACGAATAGTGTACACATTTTTATTTCCATCTGAAATCCACACATTGAAGTGATATCACGATGAATATTATTATAAAATTTGACTATTTTTAATACTTCTTTTGTTTTACAATAATTAATTAAATAGTTGACATTTTCAAAATATGATTTTAATTATACGTTTATACGATTTTTTCACTTATTAATTTTTTTTTATATATATATTTATAGCGATTATGTCACTAAAAGTAAACGCAATAAGTACTATATTAGTATATTTTCAATACTCATAACTTGTTCTATCGATATAATAAATGATAAAAACTTAAATATGAATAAAAATAGTTTTAGAGAATTGTGTCAATTCTGCCTGTTTTAAAATTCTGTAAAACTCAAATTTAAAAATCCATATCAAACATTACGGAATGATTTAAAAATTTGCGCAAATTATCATAGCTATAAATATAATTAAAATTTTATGTGAAAAAAACCTGTAATTTTACAAATACCCAAATTGTGGTTGAAATAATAGAAATAGAAAAAATCAAGGACATATATAAAGTCAGCGTCAAAAAACCTAACAGAAACAATAATACAATTTTATAAACATTCCATGATACAATTTTTGTCGCTATATGTTATTATTATCCCAGACAGCATTTTTTTTTTTTTTTTTAATAATGTTTTCATAACGTTATTATAACATATAATGTTATATTAATGTTCTAAAAATGTTTTTATAACATTATTTTTTTTAAATTGCTGTCTGAGACTCTACAGGCACAATAAAATGTTAGTACTATCGCCAATACATTAATAGCAAACCGCTACGCCATTAAAGAATTCATTATCGTACAAATAAATAAAAACGTTGTTCTATACTTGTACTAATCCAAATTATTATTAAATCTATAGGTACAAACGGAGGAGATAGCTTGATCACTGTTTCGTCGTCAGAACTAGTTTCAATGCAAAGCCCATCGAGCTGGTCCACACTGTCAAATCACCATGGCCATCACCAAATGCCTCCAATGAATCCCGCCCGTATCAGCCCCCAGCCGACGCTCATACCTACATCGTGTATGGGTCAAATGAGCCCCACTTCGGCTGCCTACCACAGCTATCAGCCACGTCAAACCCATCCTCCATTTTATACGTGGTACTGATACATTGATAATAAACAATTTGTTATTATTAACAACAAAATAAACAATATACAATTTTTCCTTGCAAATAACAATTTAGACTCTCGAATAATATTTGTTTAGTTATTTTCTATTCATTACGCTTTATACAATTATATGTTCCTAACCTAGATTTTATATTATAAATGATTAATGATGAGCTTAATTTTTAAATTAAAAAACATATCATGTAATCGATCAAAATAAAAATGAATTCCTATTATCCGTAGAAAAATTATAATTAATGTCTACAGTGTCTTATCGGGAAAGAAACAAATTGTAACTCATTAGTTTAAAATTGTAAAAATTATTTGTTATTTTATAATTGAACATATCGAAATATATTTTGTATAGTAATAAAATAGTTGTAAATGAATGTATTTTATTTTTGTAAATTTGTTTTGGTTAAATTTAATTTGTATTTACAAATAGATTTTTTTCAGTAATCCTTATTTGTAGTTTATTAATTGTTTTTGTTGATTTTAGATGTTTATATACACATGTGAATTTATTTTGAGTATATAAATTGATTATAATAATTTCTCTTTATTATTTCTCCAAATATATAAATTTGATGTAATATTTACCTAAATAAAATGTACATTTAAAATTTTAATGTAATTTGTTTTTAGAAATATTTAATCCCTTTTGTAATTGTTTTGATTATATGCAAACTTTTGTAAAATTCTACTTGTAATCGAGTAGGAAAAAATTGATTAGAATTTAATATTACTCAAAAAATATTTTATAAATTTAAAAATCTGCGATACAATTTTGAAGAGGTTTCTTCACTTTAGACCTAATAAACTCTAAATGTGTGGGTTATCAAGATATTTTAGAAGAGAGAACTTAATATTTTCAAGAAATTTAATTTTTATGTACAAAGTAAAAGGTTTATCACAAATTACTGGCAAAATAAATACAATATTTGAAAAAATAATTTTTTACTTCTTTTATTGACATATAATTTTTGACTCATCAGATAATAATTATTTTTTAGGATCATCCCTTATGGGCTGATAAACATTGAGGTTCAACATTATTTTTTAAACGGTAAAATAAATATTTATTTTATTTATATCGTAACTCAAAACTTATAAATTAAAGAAAAATGTGTGTTAACTCTTGTTTACATTTGAACTAAATAATAAAACAATAGAATGGTTTAACATTGAAAGTGTGTTTGATATAAGTGAGAGTAACTTTCATTTGAACTATATAACTCGAGGGTCATAAAATAATATGAGTATTGACTCTTATTGATTTGAAATCTTACCTGATAATTTTTCTTAGTTCTTAGAAGAACTTAAATGATAGTATTAACTAATAATTGATAAATAAAATAACACAAATTCGATGTAGTTCACAACATTAATACGTAAGAATTTGGACAATTACGATCATAATTTTTACGTAACGATTTCTAGTGAGCGATTAAAAAAGATTGGACTGAAAGGGTTTGTTCTGCCTTCTATAATATTTTGTATCCCCTAAAATGATCATTGTCTCGTTCTTATAATATTATTTATTATTAATAAGTAAGCATAAAATATAAAAAATTATTACAAATGATTAGCAAACAAATCGTTTTACTATTTTATACAACGTTAATATAGTTTTTTATACTTAGGATTAGGGTTGACACAATGCGTTTAATTATTAAGATTAGAAAAATAAAAATGACAAGTATAATTTATAGATTTATTTTTGGAAAGGGTAATTGAAAAATGACTATTAATTGATGTATAACTGAATCGTGTGAATTATAATATAAATATTGAATAGTATGCCTTTGTTAAATATTTCCTTGAGTTATTCATTTAATTTTTTTGTTTGAAAAGAATTATGGTCTTCTGAGAATATGAATAGAATGTATAAATAGAAGAGATTATTATTGTGTACATTGACAGGGTGCCTACTATTATTCCATATTATAATAGTGAAGAGTATATTACGACACTTATAAAGTAGATAATTATCTAATTAATAAAGTGATTGGTTAATAACAACTTTTGATTAAGTACTATGGATGTTACTCTCTTTATACACCTAATTAGGACGATTTTATATCTTTTTCACTGTTGTTGCGTGTCTCCTCCTTAATCATCCTCCTTGTTTCACTATCAACTCCTCCTCCGGTCTAGGCATAAAATGTTAATAATTTCCAAAGTATTCGTCGACCAGTCACAATTTTAATTACATTTATTCTGTATTATAAGTGAGTTAAGTATGTTTATTGGCATTAATAAATTAAGTTTACACCTGAAGTTATATTAATTTGTTGTAAATAATTGAGTGATTTATGATAAACAAATATCTCTGTATTTTCAATTTCATTAATTTAGAATCAAGTATTTTAGTTATTTATCGGATAAAAATTTTTTTTTTGATACAGCTGAACTAATTCGTAATTTATTATTATCTTTTCTATTGGGAATTTTACTAACATTTTCAATTTTAATTGATGATAAATTTTTTTTAACAAGATGTGGAGATTAGTAAGTGCCATAAATAGATTTTCACATATGTCACATATCCATCTTAGAGACTCTCAATATCAAATATACCATTTAAAACTTGTTTTGTATATTTTAGAAAATCATCAACGATTTTATAGATTTTCGTAGTTAGGTACTACTAAATAATAATCACCTAATACCCCGGTAAAAAATTCTAATGAATTTTGGTCAATTCTAATTTTAATTTTACACTTTATATTTAGTAACATTATGAAATTTTTTCATACATTAAAGAAAGCTTGATTTCATAGTCCACCATGTTCTTACGTAAAAATATATATAATTGTAAATGAAATAGTTGAACATATTTGCATTGTTTACTTGATGAAAAAAATTTTACTTGGTAAAATTAGTGAATTGATTGAATAAAGTCGATCATGCATGCAGAGTAGGGTAGATCAAAAAAGTCGATTTTCCAAATTTTAATAAGAATTATTTAACATTATTTTATACATTAAAATAGACATTTTGTAAAAGTTTGAGATTTTTAACAAAAATTCTACTGGTCGCTCAACGTGTTTTTAGTATTTTGACAAAAAATACCCTAAAAAAACAATTATTTGTTTAACAGTTATTCAATTTTTGATCAAATATTATGATCAGTATATCAAAATAGTTTGATTTTTACTGTAGAATACAAATTTTTTAGTTTAAAAATTTTAAGTCAAAAATTGATAGTGTAGATATCGTAATTAACGTCATTATATGATATATTTGTAGTAGGTCTCAAATAATCTTAAATTAAAAAAAAAATTTTATGCAGTTTGGCTTATATTTATGCGTATTATAACTAAGAACAAAGTTATTCACTAATCATAAAAACCTTTTTTTAAAAATAAAGTGTAAGCTAAAATATATGAGATTCTTGAAAATATTTATAAATAACGGTTGATCGTCAAATATTTTTCAATTATTTTTTTTTTATCAAACAATTCATTTATATGGATTTAATTTGATTAATTTATATAATTATTTTAGTATTCTCAGTTCAAGTTTTTCAAAATTATTATCTTTTTATCTCGAATCGTTTAAGAAGTTTTATTATATTCTGAAGTTTTGGTACTAAAGACTGGATTAGAAATAAATAAATTACTTTTTTTGTTCAAAAAATTGATGTCTGAAGAATTAGCGATTTAAAATATATCTAATATCGTAAAAAAATTTATTTCTTTTCTATTTTTATCAGTAGTATTTCTTTTTTAACTTAATTCACTTCTCATAAAGATTTTTTATTTGTGAAACGATTTTACAATTAAGTGTTATGGGGCTGTCAGTTTACGATCACGCCTGTATCAATATTTTTGTATATAGACGTTGACTAATAGATATCATTTTTTTGGTCACAATTTGAAAATATAAAAAATAGCTAAAACTGAACCTTTTAATGGGAGCTTTTAGTCAATAATGTTTTTTTTTGTCGTAATCTTTAGACAATGAGATATTATCTTTGAGTTTACTATTATACTCTAAAATTAAATTAAACATAAAATTTATTAAAAATTTGTGAGTTATAATTGTCAAATGTAATTCAAAATATAGCCTAAAAATAGAGTTACAAAGACATTTTATGTAAAAAAAATGAAGCGGTATGGCTTAAATTACAGTTTATATTAAAACTGTAATAGTTTTTATATAATTATATTATGATATCAAAAATTAATTTTATTTAAACTATATGTAACTTATTTTTTCTTACCTAATATTATAATAACCGCAAGAAATAAAATTATGGTAAAAAATTATTAAAATAAAACTAAATACGTTCAAAATTTTACTATTAAAATCAAGTAAATCTGTAACTTCACATAGGTTCGCTGATTTTTCATCACTTTTTTATTTAATTTGTACTGATGTATGATTTTATTATAAATGAAATGTTTGATATAAAAAAATAATTGAAAAGTATTTAATGATCAACCGTTAAATAAAATATCTCTATAAGGAGCGAATTAAGTTAAAAAAGAAATACTGCTGTTTAAAATAGAAAAGAAATTAAATTTTTAAAGTCATTAGATAATGTCTTTAATATTTTAATCGCTATTTCTTCAGAGATAAATTTTTATATTCTTTATATTATTATATATAAATATTTTCAAAAATATCATATATTTTATCTTACACTTTATTTTTAAAAAAGGTGTAAGTTTTTATAATAAGTGAATAATTGTTTTCCTAGTTATAATACTCATAAATATAAGCCAAACTGCATAAAAATATATATTATATCATATAATAACTTAAAATTTTGAAACTAAAAAATTTGTATTCTACAGTAAAAATCAAACTATTTTGATATACTGATCATAATAGTTGACCAAAAATTAAATAGCAGAGGCAGATTTTGTTATTTTAGAAAATTACTGAATATCTATTATTAAATATTGAAAAATCTTATTTTTTTTAAGTATAACTTTTTTTGTCGGTAACAAAATTAATGGTGGAATGATAGAAGATTTGAACAAATACTCTAAATATTCAAATATTTTTAGGTAGCTCAATTCGATTACAAAGTTATTGTAGAAGAGAATTATAGAATTCTTAGTCATTGAATGAGTCATTGAAAGAAAAATAAAAACAAAATAAAAAAATATCTCTTCCAAGAAACTGTTTTAAAATATGTATAGTACACAGTATAGCTCCTATACATATACATATTATGTCATATACATATATTTACGTATTTCTTTCTAGTTTGTTTTTTTTTTTTTTTACAAACCATTTACAAATAAAAATAACTCAGTACATTACATACATTACACAGATACCAATACATATTGAGATCTAACAGTGATTAAAATCACTAAAAAAAATTTAATCATATAACGCTTCCATGAGAATGTGTTTGAAAATATAAGATTATTCCCACCTTTATCTATAATTTAATTAAATTTCACAACAAATGCTCTTAAACTATTTTTACCTAACAATTTCCAAATAATAAAAATGAAAAAAAAATCGTGTGATATATTATTTTAGGAAGCCTAATGTAGAAAATGCATAATGTAGAAAAATCATTGGAAGATTTTATACTATTACGTTTAAGTACTTAAATTACAAAAGTTAAATTCAACATAAATTATAAGGATATATTTCTAAAATATTTCAAAAATTTGAATGAAAATATATTTTTAAGTACATCAATTTAATAGTGTACAAACCCTTTCTGTACTTTTTTTGTAATAGTAAAGTAGCAAAAGAATTGAAAAATATGGGGCAGTTTTGAAAAATGGGATGTTCAGCGTTAAAATTGATCTTGATTTTAAAATTGTTTGATTTTCACATTACTCATTGCAAATAGAAAAATATTTACCAATGTGCCATGACGTCAATAATAAAAATGATATATGCAAATTACAGGTATAAAATTGTAGTAAAATTTAGTAGAATATTATTTTTTGTTCTAAGCTTGTATTCCTAATTATTAATTATAATTATCAATTTATAGTTATATTATAATGAAGTCTATCTTTGCAGTTATGTTGATAGCAGTATTGTATGGTTCGATAAAAATAGTTGCTGGTAATAATGATGATCCAGTCAAAGTATTAAATTCATTACTCACGACAAATAAGTGGAAATTTGCAAATAAGTATTATACTTACCCAGATACAATAAATACTTTTAATACAAATGATTTACTTGATAAAAATTCAGTTAACAAAGACAACCTTTGCTTAAAATTTAATCAAGTAATGACTATGCTAACTTATGAGTATACACTCATTTTAAAATGGCTTTATAAGCATATATCTTGTCCTCAATTTAACCAACAAAATGTAAGTGCAAATTCCGAAGAATCAATTAAACCTTTAACTTTAGAAGATGAAAATGTTTTAAAAATTGAAACATTTATTAAAAGTTTACTCAATTCAATAAATTTTTTAACAAATATGCCCGTAATAAGTTCATACAAAAATTATTATCTTATTGGTAAATTATTGGTACTATTTGACCAATTGATATATTCACTCAAAAATAATCAAACAAATCAAACACATGAAATTGCTGCACTTCGTCCTGCATTTGGTTTGATAGAAGAAAATTATTCAATTAAGTTCTATCAACATGAATGTAAAGGGCCTTCAATAGAAAATTATAATAATTATTTGACGACAAATAATCTAAGACATACACCAACAAGTCGTGTACAATTTCTTAACTATTATATTTCAAGTAAAATAGATGAATTTACGAAAGAAAAATTTTTAAAACTCGGGTTTTCATACGATGATAATATGGAAATTATTTACAAATTTTAAACTACAAGTATATTATTTAATTTTTATTATAATATATCATTACAATTTGTAATAATAGAGTGTATAATTTTGTTTAGACATAATTGTTATTTATTTAATAAAATTAATATACTATTTGATCGGCAGATGATTTTTTTTTAATTTAATTAAATATTTTATTTGAAAATCAAATTCAGATTTATAAAGTCATGTTTACATTAACTATTTAATGATGTTAACTTCAAATATCCTAATCTATTTATTAATATGTCTTAATTTAATAATTTAAATGGTTGCTAAAAATAATATATTTCCATGACTTCTTAAAATGTATGTATTTTTATGGCTTTTTAAAATTTAAACATTTCTATTACTTCTTTGTGTACATCTATTATTTTTTTGCCGTAAAATGTTTTCCATTTCTATGATATTTTAAAACTTCTAAATTCAGAATAACTACCAATGATTTCCAAAGACTGTTCCCAAAAAATTATTTTTAACTCATGAAATTTTTCGCTTTAAGTCAATGAAATATAGAATTTTTAAAGAAAACATTGAAAATAGACCAAAAATATAAGTTGAAAAACATAAAACCTTATAAATTCAATTTTTAATTCAAAATAAATATTCTATAAATTTTTCCTCAAGATGCTTACCAAATATTAACGAATTTTTAGAAACTACAATAAACCAGCTAAAGAAAATTAAATAAAAAATGTTGCATTAGTATTCTATGAATATGACATTAAATTTATTCAATTAAGTTAATTTTATACAAAAGTAATTGTATCCTGTAGTACGTAATATTTTTTCTATCAAAATTTTACCAAAATTTATTATTTCTAAAAATTATAATTCCGCTGTAAAATTTAAGGTCGCCCTTATGACTAAATAATAACCGGTCAAAAAAATATTGTGCTTGTACTATAAATAAATTTTAGTACTTTACACAAACAACAAGAAAATCTTTTAAAGCATATTTTAATTTTTATGTATTATTAGTTTAATACAGTTTTATTACTTAGACATGAGAACTAATCAATTGCTTCAAAAATAAAACAATGTTTTATTAATATATAATAGAAAGTAAAATTATTTTGTTGATATTAAATGGTTTGAAAATTGATATTTTGAATGACTAAACTACCTTGATATTTATTTAATTTAAAAGCAATATTCAAATAAAAGGTCGTCTAAGACTTTCCAATAACACATAAACATGATATAGATAATATATTATATATATTTATTTATTATATAAATATAATAAAATTCATATTTTATTGGCAGCAAAAATATCTTAAATGCCCAAGTTCTCGAAGAGTATCTTTCAATTTTCGCTCATAGAAAATTATTTAAAAACTTAAAAATAAAATAAAATGCGATATTTTTTTCAAAAATATAGCAAAAAGAATATTTAAGAAATATTTTTATAATTCGTTTACAATGAATTCATACGTTTTAAAATAATTTCGTATGAAATGATTGTGAATCGTAGAATTAAAAAAATTACATGATAATGAATTATGGTAATTCATAGATACACCATTATTAAATTAAAATAATACATATCTTTTATTTTATAAAGTCTGAGATTTAAAAAATTTATATTCGTATACTTAAATTTAATGATCACAAAAAATGATCTTATATACATTTTTGTTTTACACTAATTAAATAAAGATTATCAACTACGTATAAGTCACAATAAAATACGATTCAATTCTTTACTTCATTAAGCTGTTTTTATTTATCAGCATGTATAAAAGGTGTTATTTTTTAATATAAATATATATTATGTAGCATTTAAATAATTAACTATTAAAGTAGTTATTACTTTCTATGATTAAGGACATACAAGTCAATTATTTTTCAACTAACGTTGAATGACGATTAAATCACATTTAGCTTAAAAGGCATTTCATTATATATCGTGAATATGATAGTATTATAGTTTTGTCGTAGAGTTATAATCATTCATCATAATACTCATACTCGTAAGTTGGTCTTGCGGGTCTCCTGTTTACCATTCTTGTTGGTTTATTGTGTTCTTGCCTATGTCTAGTAGATTGTCTGACGCTAACCCTCTGAGGTTGATGGTAAACTGCTTCTTCAGAGACGGGTGACCTTGCAACCGGACCTTTCGTTTTCACGGCAGATTTGTTTGTATATACGCCAGACGTTCGCTTAGTTGTGGTTTGTCTGGTAGCAACTGGAAGTTCATCTTCGTATTCATCCACTCTTTCAACTGGCCTTTTCTTGAGCACTGTTGCAGACTGATGCTGTAATACGGGCGAAGGTTGTACTGTCAATGGCTTGGTGAGTTTTGGTCGGAAAACAGAGAGTGGTGTTTTAGGTGCAATCGTTGATGATGGAAGTGCTACAGGCTGTCGCTTATTTAGCTTGTCATTATCAAAGTCTTTTGTTGGTGCGACTTTCGCAGGGAGAGGATTAACTACTTCTTTACTGTCTACGTCATCTTCCTCTACATATTCCTCTTCCTCTTCATCGTAATATTCTGGTTCAACAGGCGGAGGTGGTATTTTTCCTTTTGACTTTGCTGGTGATTCAGTCGTTGTTGTAGTCGTACTAGTGGTAGTGGTACTAGTTGTAGTCGACGCTGCCAGTGGCTGTTGGCTACCTTCATTGGCTTTTGGTATATAATCATAGCGATCTCGTTCATTAAGAGGTACCGGCCGTCGTATCTTCGGTGGCGCCCTTGGCTTACCGTAAACTGACATTATCTGGTTATTAGATACGTTCTTAGGGATAACAGAAGAAGATGCTCGCTGTTGTTGATGTTGTTGCTCAATAGGTTCGTTGTTATCTCTATCCAACTCAGAACTGCTTTCCACATATTCATTTTCTAAATCGACTGGTTTGTAGTCTGAAAAATTAAAATATTTATTTATACGAAACAAAATTCTGTATAATTTTTTATATGTCAAATATTTTTAATTAGAGTCGGATCCTATGTGTACTAAAGTCAAATTCAGGTTTTTTCTTAATATTCTAAATTTGGCTGCATATTTTTACTTTCGGTTTGACACCCTAAAGATGATTTAATGTGTGTTACGTCATAACTAATAGAACCAGTTAGTCCCTAGGATTTGAATTAATCCATTAATGCGCCATTTTTTTTTAAACATATGATCATACAAAAAATTATCAAGTAAATCAAAAGGATGTCTATGTAAACCAGGATCTATTACTATTTTTATAATTCAATCAAATTGTGTATAAGAATATTATACATACTATTAATAATTAATATTACTTAGTCCATTATGAGACTAAAATTTAGAATGAATGTTTTTTGTATTTAAATTAAAATTGAAATTTTATTTTATTATTTACCTCATGAAATATTTACATTAAACAACTACGAAACGAAATCAAGAAGCTTACATCCTTTTATTTCCTAAACTTAACAAGCTACAGAGTGTTGGTCTCCTCTTTCGCATGTTAAGCAATTAAAGATGGTCGGGACGGGTATTATGAGCGGCTTGCGCCAGAAACCAGACACCACCAATGAAAACGTCACGATAAAAATCTCGTTAACACTCTGGGGATCGAACCCGGGACCTCGTGGGCCAAAACATACGTTTCTACCCACTAGGCTAGGCCGATCCCTGGCCAAGTTTTCTCCATACATTTTTAATACCCCGTGTATTAATCAATGTTCCACTATTGATACATTATATAATTCACTATAGTTTGACGATTAACGAGGTACTGGCATGTGTCAATATGTTACCTTATATCACATTAAAAGATCGAACAATAAGTTATCGTTATAATTCTTTTGTAACACAAGTAATTTTTTTATACAAATATAAATTAAAATCGACATATTAAAATGATTGCTATGTATTTCACTTACTGTTGACCCTGGAATGTTTTCTTGCCGACTTCTTCACCACAGGTATTGGTTCGATGGCATCATCGTAATATTCCGCATCGTCATATTCATCATCTACATAATAGTATTCATAAACGGGTCTACGTCTTCTGTAGGGCCTGTGCTTACGGCCTTGCGCATAGCCACCGGCCACAACCCTGCGGCCTTCGTAAGGCCTGAATTGTTGTTGTGGTTGCTGCTGTGGTCTTGACGGCGGCGGAGGAGGCGGTGGGGGGGCAGCAGTGGTTGTAGACGTTGTTGTCGTAGAAGTAGTGGTAGTTTCGGCCGCCTTATACAAGGCTTCATTTCTGTATCATAGTATAATATTAACGAAATACAAAATTGTCCAGTGTTTATTAACCAATGGGTATGAAAATAATTATACAACTAACTCACCTGTTGAAGTATTTTGCGGAGTTATTACAGTCTACTTGAGACACAAAATGGCAGATAAACGTTTTCTGATCAAAAGCGGTGTAATTGGCGCACAAAAAATCGTACCTCGTCCCAAACAAACAATGATGGTACAGCTATACATATACAAATGTAAGATAATTCATATTAATAGTTTTGCTCGTTTTATAAAATAATCACAAGTTGTTCGATTACAAACTTGACATTTATGTGGTACACTGGCATAGAAACCGTCATGCAAACCGTCACACTTAAAGTCTATTTCTTCAGGCACGGAATTCAGAAACGGATAATCCGTCAAGTTATAGCCATTCAGCTCTCGGGGAAGATTTGGATCGTGGACATAGTCTATTTGCGGTATGCCCGTTAACGTTGGCTTAGTAGATGCGACGGTTGCATTTGGATTCAGTTCACCATTTTCGTCAAGCTCAGCCACCTCATCATCCTACAATGGACATAAAAAATATACTGTAAAATTGTTTATTTAGATGCTAAAATTAAATAATAATAAATACACATAGACCTTAATTGTTAAAATTAAGAATTTAATTATAGAATTTTAGTTGAATCTAAAAATTGATCATGAAATACATTTGAGATAATTAATTTATACAACTAAATGATGCAGTTTTTTACGAATATTAAATACTATGTATTTTAAATTTACAAAAAATAAATTGTTATTAGAAGTAAACAGCCATACTCATTTCAAAACCTGTTTTTTTACAAGTAATTGAAAAATTAAAAGATTATAATATTGATATAGAGTTCGCATAACTCAAACAATTTAATTCTTGTTGAGATTAATGACTGATGAGTAAATGTTTTAAGTACACGTGTCATGCTATCACTCCACCGTCAATAATAAATTATTTAAATGAAAAACAGATGCTTCATTATACATTTTATTAAAAAATTTAGAAAGTAAAAATAAAAAATAATAATGACGAAATAATCACAATTTTTTTAATATCATTATTTAGACACATTTTTCAGAAGCATATTATGCTTCTAAAATTTTTGATATTGAAATTGTAATAATTTATATTAATTATATATAACTTAAGTAATTCATAATATAATATATTATACCAAATTATAATAGACTACCACGTGTAAAAAGTAAATAACTTACTGAAATTTTTTTTTCAGCTTTACTTTTTGCTTGTAGAACAACAGCTGATCCTCTTAAAGCATGTAACTCTCCTACAAATATAGACCATGATAGTAAATCTGAAACCATCAATTAAAATATTAACTTTTTTCTACTTAAATTTTAAATATAACCTATTAAGTTAAAAAATTGACGACGAACTCTTTGTCATATTATTAAATTTAATGATACTATGTAAGTAAAAATTCTTCATAATATTTTTGAATATTTCTTTTCATTCACTTAACCAACCTGCCTTATAATTCTTAGTTAATAGTAATGATATTATTATTAACATATATTATTAAGAATAATTATTGAAGTAAGTTCTAGATAATGTATAACTGGGTAATAATTTAAGTTATCATTTTATTTTCTTAAAATATATGTTGGCTTCCAGAATATTTTATAAATAAAAATTTTCATTAGTCACCCTTCGATAGCTTTCTTCTAGAACGTGACATTGTAGAGGATAATTATTTATAGTATGCTTTTAAAATAAAGCAAGTCATAATTTCATTTAAAAAACAAACCCGAATCATTATAGATAAAAGTCGTCATTAAAAATATTCAGTTGTTCAAATAAGTCCTTGACCTTAGTGAACTCATCATATTCGGCCAAAAAACTATTATCAGGAATTGGATGAGATTTTCTTCAATGCTTTTCATTCTACTAATGGCTGGGTATTAACCTTTACGTTAAACAAATACAACTTTTTTTACACACCTCAAGGCTCTTGTGTGTTCTTAATATGTCGCAATATGATTTATGATTCTTATTTTTATTAATGTTTAATTAAAAACTAATTATAAATAAAAATTAAATAATAACATGACTAATGAAATTTACGAAGAGATATTTTTTTCTAAAATATTGTTCATTTGTTTTAAACCTGAATGCTTTTTTAACTTTTCAGTTGATTCAATATTTATAAATAAACTTATTAGTTAACTATTACTTTAATTCGTTTCTTGTCACATGCAAAATAAATAATATCCGTTTTTAAAGGACACCAATGGAAAGTTTTAAAAGTGATATTACTTTCAATTAGACAGAAATCGAAGACTATGAAGTGTTTAAAAATTCGGTATAGATCTATATGCGTAACAGTTGGCACCGTATGACTAATCCTGAAGTTAATATTAATTAATTAAGACATTATTACCACAAACATGTTATCTATTTTATAAAACTTTTTAAAAAAATAACGATTTTGAAAGCATCCACTGTTATTGAGAAAATTACAAAAAGTGCTTCAATGTGAATTTATTTCATTTGAGTTTTAATATAAAAAGAATATTTTAGACTTTTTCTTATTGACGTATTACATAATATCGTTAATACTTTAAATTAAAATTATTTATGCACATTTTATGTATTAGATCATACTCTAGGTAATGATATTTTTAATTAATTGATACGAATCGTTTCTAAAAATACCTTTTAAAAATCTTAATAGAATTTTATTCAATGATAAAAAATGCATATTAACCCACGAAAATTTTTATTAAAAATGTACAAAATATATAAATTTCAAAATAATTAATTTTCTACTTGCAGATAATATTTTTTCTATTTAATGATCTTTATAATATTTTTTAATTTATTCATATTAATAAAATATGAGAAAATGCGTAATATAATTTAAATAATATTGGTATTTACTTCACTTAATAAAAGTATTATTTGTAAACTTAAATTTTTTATAATATAACACAATTTTTATGGTATTTACTTACAAATTGCCAGTTTACAAACAAATACGATTTTGAGCCGTCTCATTTCACCCTAAAAAATATGAATATAATTAAATAAATATCAGTATTTTATGAATATTTTATAAATAGTGATTATAAAAGAGTTTTTATAAAATAATTTCTCAATTAAGTTACAGAAACTTTCAGTCTACAAATATTAATAACAGAAAAAAATTATTTGGGCATAATTTAATTTTTTGAGGGTATAGAAAGATGAGGTCAAGATTTTAATTTAATATATCGTATACATTTAATAATTCAATAGCAACATATTTTGAAGAAAATGTTTATGATTATTTTTCAAAGATATAATAATCTTAAACTTAACTTAACTTTAAATTTAAATGTTGTATTATTGTTTCATTTTTATTATATATATTTATAACAACTTTGTGTTGGAAAACCAGTATATGATGTAATCAATAGCAAATATCCCTATAAATATTCTATTATTATGAATATTGTTAAATTTGTATTATAAATCTGGGTGTGCCAATTATAACCTTGACTTGTTTCACTAGTGTGCATAAGATAAAATAATGTTAGTTGTAAAAAGTGAAAAAAAATTTGGCTTTAAATCGACATTGAAACGAGTAATAACTAGAATAAACATTTAATATAAATAAATTGAATAGTATTTTTAAAAAATGTTTATTTCAGACATAGTAGGCCTCACGCACATGCCCAAATTTCATGCTACTATTTTGTCGGACATAAAAAATCAATTCAGCTACTATTATCCATTGAAAAATTGTATACTTCTCCAACACGTCATATGAAATGAAAATTACGCCCGTACATTGACTTTATTGTAACCATCTACTAGCTGTCGTTATGGTTCATTGCGAACACATTGATCAATTTTTCAACAGTTAGGTATTATGAAATTAAATCATATTGCGATAATTATTATTACATTGTTAAACTCTTTATATTTTGTGGTCACAAAAGATAGAGCTATAATTTTTGGATTTTAAACTTAACTATAATTTAGACACTATTGTTTTGACTACGATGTGGACTGTATTAAAGATAGTATAATAAATTTAAACGAAATACGATAATTGTTTATAATTTGCTTAAAGGTTCATTTTATTAAAATATAATGATTGCTTACGATTATTACAGCAGTGCGGCGACGATAGAACGAGAGAAAATTGACAACTGACTGAAAAACCCAAATACAACAATACGTTTACGGCGCCTTATCAACAATGTTAATATATAAACCGAACAATTATTAAAATTAATATCGTTTCCCCCAAACTGAGAAATCTTGAATATAACACATCATAACAGTCAAACTATTATAAATTTATCATATTATTGAAATGGGTGTAGTATTTTATTTTCTAGAATAAATTCGAAACTATTCCTAAAATTTCATTGAACTATGTGTGGTCGATACTTTTGAAAACGTCACACCAATCACTTGTTCAAAATAACGTTAAAGTTAATGAGTTTTCCATTTAAACTTTTATACATAACCGAATTAAAATATGTTAGTTTGAAATCCACTAAATTACTTGCTCAAACAATGAAAACTAAAATTTTCATTCATTTTATTTCATGTTATTCAATATCTCTCAAAAATAAAAAAAGAAGTTCAAATAACTTTTAAATTATTAAATCATCGTCAAATGGGCCAATTTTGGATGATAATTAAACTTGGGCCAGTTAAATATTATATACATTTCATGACATAATTTTTGTGAACAAATATTTTGTATTTCATAAAATACATGTGAACATTTCACTAGTGCTGTAACTTGATACAACTAAAATGATAATTATTTAACTGACCCAAGTTAGCCTATTTGACGTTATATCATCTAAAAATATGCAATCATATAAATTATTATTTTAAAACAATAAACCGGAAAAAAATAATTTCTGTCCCCAGTAATCAATTAATATATATATATTACTATTTTCAAGGACGTCTTCATATTGATTAATTAATAAGATAGTTGTATATTAATGATAATGTCGTTGGTATTTGTATAAATGTTTGTGAAAGTTAATGAAACTCGACTTGATTATACAATATGTATCATTAAAAGTATTTAATTGTTAAAAATATTTTTTATTAAAGTGTTAATTAAATATTTTTTAATACTGTTATAAATTTTAAAATATTAATTATAAACATTAAATATAACTTTAAATGACCAAATAAATGCGACTACTCAGTCATAGACTTGTTCTGAAGTATAAAGTAAATTTATATTTATTTTAAAAATAATATCTATTTTTATATAGTAATAATTTTAATAAAATAATTAAATTTTAAGTTTTATGTATTTATCAATAACCGTTATAATAAAAAAATAATGGGAAATAATTTTCAATGATACATTTTAATAATTAAAAAAACATACTTTCACATCATCAACTAGTTGAAGAAAAAATAAAATTTAGTTTGCATTAACACCTCAAATAAGTAATAATAGAAGATTTCTTATATACAATTAAGATTGTTTATAAAATTACTATAGACGAAAAAGCTTTAGTAAACATATTATACATATAAAATTATTATTTATTTAATAAATTTATTAAAAAATATTAAATGAAAACTATCTAGAACTAGTTTGTGGCTTTCAATGCACGATTAATATATGTTCGGTGTAAATTAAAATAAAATTGATTTTTAATTGCTGAATATATATGTAATATATTCTACTAGTCAAAATTGCATGAGTTACAATTAACGATGTATCAAACAACCTACCTTAATATGTTTTTGTAATTCTATAATGACATATTTTTATTTATTTGTCGACAAAGTCGTTTTTAGTTTACTGAAGTAATTTCATAATTTTTTTCGAATTTAGTATTATTAAAACAGTGAGTTTTTGTTATAGATGTAGCTTCAATTCTTAGTACTTAATTTAAAAAACATTATTATAAATTACTTTCTGCTCATACCTAGATCTTTTTTTAAAGCTATAATTTATTTTTTTACTTAAATCGTGTATATGTATTTCACTGTATATCAATAAAACGATTACATAAATGATAAAAACAGAATATACTAATGATTTATTAAATTAAAATATGTTTATAGTCAAAATAACCTAACTTAACATAAGAACTAACCTAATACCAACACAACATCTTATGAATCCAATTAAGAGTATATACAAATCCATCAACCGAGTCGTCACACTTTCGTTCACACATACTTAAATTGCTTTAATATTTTTTTCGTATAAACAAATACATACAATTATTCCGTATATGATTAAAGAGGAAAAAATGTTAAAAGTTCTTTTAAAATCCACGAATAAATAAAATAAAATATTTATGTTAATGGTTCAATAATTCCAAAAATTTTAGGTATTAATTTTTTTCAATATTAAGTTAACGGTGAATAAAGGTGCGCAGAAAGTCGTATGGCAAAAAACCAAATAGCTGTGAGACGTTCAGTTCATGTCCGGTCGTTAAAGTCTCCGCAGTATTACCGTCACGTTTTTGATGTAACAACAATTATAGATAATTGGCAAAATGATTCAATGTGAAACACGCTTCGTGTTTTTATTAAACGTGTCTCGAATTTATATTTTTTAATTAAGATTACACGGAGTCCTATAACAAAGCCTATAATAGTTCAAAATGACAGGTTCAATAGGCTGGTTCAATTGCATTCGCTTGAAGCGCCACAGCTGTACCCGAACGCATCACCTTGTGATAGTACACGAGACGTATGTTCACTCCTAAGTTCCTCGTCTTGTAGTTCCTACGTTTTGATGGTCATTGAACTTTAAACGATATATTATTAGCGGAGAACAATAAACTATCGCCAAATACAGAATTTTTATCATAAAATTGTCTCAAACGAATTGGCACTGAGAAAGTATTGTTATTATTATATATTTTTCAAACGAAAGTAGTATATTTGAGAATACGTACGTTGTCGAGATGATTACATCAGGTGCACTGAACAATAGTGTTACGCGTCAGCTATCACACGTGCCATTCTAGTCTTTTTGGAATAATTCCATAAGGTTCGCACCACAACGATCGGTTAATGTGCGTACACTACACCGGCCGCGAGTGTGTGCGCGCGACCGGAGGACGAAACTTTCACTATGAACTGATTTTTCTCTCTCTCTCTCTCTTATTTCTGTCATTCTTACCTATTCACTCACCAATTCAAAGACAACAAACACATAAGTTAATGCCATGATTTATTTACAAATACCATACGTGTTCTGTAGACGGTGATAAAATGCAGGTCGAGGCACTAATATATTGGACGGCCTGCAAATGACTTTGTTAACCTGTCAAAAAACAACTGTGGTTCCTACAGTTTAAAACGATTTTATTACTAATATCTGACTATGAAATCAACACGTCATGGGATTTTACAAAAACACGCTTCTTCTTACTTTTAATTTTTTTTTACTAATTTAGAATTTTTATTAGCCGACCAACTATACTGGATTTCATGTTTAAATCATTTTAAGGTATATTTTTTATTAATTCAAAATAAATTTAAATTATATTTAAACTGTTAATTTCATCATTAACTAAGTTGACCTATAATTTATCTATTATTTTAATGTCCGATCACTTAAATAAGTACCGAACAAGTATCTAAACGTGTTTAATATGTAAGCACTTGAAAACGCGTTGAATAATATGGAAGTTTTGAAAGTAAACCAGCCTGATGTATATAATAGTAACTAAGATATAACATTTCCTCGACGAATAAATCAAGGTTATTTGCGTTACCAGCATACGTAAGTCAGCCTAAAACGTATTATGAAAAATTAACGGTGTTTGATATAATTTAAATGTTATTATATTCAGTCACACCTATGTGAACGTTAAATAAGAATGCTTGTTTTATATTTTTTGTTACCAGCAAACACACCACTCAAAATAAAATATGACGCCATTTAAATCAACTGTTTTATTATTTTATAATACTAATTCAAATTTTAATTCTTTATAATAGCTATTAACCGATCAATATACTTGAAGACAAATTTTTGGTCTCATATCGTTCTATAAGAAACGTGT